CCCCTCTCCCTTCGCCAGGGGCACTCACAGGTCTCCCCTCTCCCTTCCCCAGGGGCACTCACAGGTCTTTCCCTCTACTCCCAGAAACCCCAGCCCAACCTCCCACCTTTCACTTTTCACTGAGGGATCGCAATGCATTTCAAGCCTTGAAATGGAGTGATGGTAGAAATACTTTGTGAAGCTCTGCTTCAGTCATTAGTTTAATGTAATTTTGTTTCAGAGCAAAGAAAATCAAATGGTTGGGATGATCTAATCAGCTTCACACATTTAACTTACGGCATGGTGGTTCAGTGGTTAGCATTGTTGCCTCACAGCATCAGGACCCAGGTTCGATTCCACCCTCAGGTGACTGTCTGTGTGGTGTTTGCACATTGCCCACACTCCGCTGCGTGGGTTTCCTCTGGGTGCTCCAGTTTCCTCCCACAGTCCAAAGATGTGCATGTTAGGTGGACTGGCCATGCTAAATTGCCCATAGTGTCCAGGGATGTGCAGGCTAGGTGGATTAGCCATGGGAAATGCAGGGTTATGCGGATTGGAGACGGATGTGTACGAGTGGGATGCTCTTTGGAGGGTCAGTGTGGAATTGATGGGCCGAATGGGCTCTATCTTCACTGTAGGGATTCTATGGTTCTTGTCTGTGAACATCTACAAAGTGGCATGTGCTCTTATTTTAACTGATGAGGTGCTGTATAAAATTAACGTGACAACAATCTCTTCAGATTGCTGCAGTAGGATGGCACAATTGGGATTCGAAATCGATAAATTCACTGACAGAGCAAAATCAAAGCCACAAATAAAGAACTATCCAACAGACATAGAGAAATTTTATTGACCTAGCTTAAATATGTCAACTAGAGACAAGCTTACCTTTTAACACTGTCCAGAATCTAAAATAAAAATAGAAGTTACTCTAGTTATCAACAAGTTCATTGTAGAAGATACTGGTTAAGGTAACTGGTTATTTTACTCGACAGGCTAGTTGACTTAATTTTACAAAATACGAAGGGATTCAGTCCCTGATGGTACATGGTGCAGGGCTGGATGAACACAGCAGGCCAAGCAGCATCA